AATAGAGGATTTTGGAAGGAAAATTTGAAGTCGCAGGTGAGTCGTATTGCTCCTGCGGAATTAAAGGCAAGATTCAAGCTTAAACCGATGAGGTAATTCTACTCAAATGTGATGTAGGGGCGGGAGGGTGACCGCCAGTGGAGAAAAAAGGAAGGAAAATCCTGAAATACACAGGAAATACGAGCCTTTTGCTCTACGTTGCGGAGAAGTTCAAAAGGCCGGCAGGGAGATGAGAGATAATGTGAGCGCGGAGAGCGGTAGAGAAATCCGAGAAGAGAGAGCATAGCAGATCAACATTGCGACGCAGACAAAATATCGAGCGGTGGGCGGAGCGTGTCGCAACAGGTGGAGCGTGTCAAAGTCCTTGGCCCCTAGCGCCTTAGTGACGCATTTGGATGCGGGAACTTGGCGAGTCGCCTGCAGCTGCGTCCCATGCACTTCTAGCCACTTTAAGGGCTTATTAGGTGGGTCTGAGCCCGAACTTTGCCTTTAAAGGCAGAATTTACGATGAAAAGTTAGCTCATTGGAAATAAGGGTAGAGGTGGTCAGTGGAGCAGGGATGAAGAAGAAACCATTGAAACGGCCCGAAACCCGAGAAATGGGACCCCTTCCTTGCCCGTTGATTTGCGCATTGATGCGACTCTCATCGCTGTGCCCTCTTCAACACTACGCTCTCTCTCTGCTATCTAATCACTCGCCACGTATAGACCTGCGGCGAGTGATTAGATAGTCGGTGGGCGTACCCCGCCAACCGCGCCAAGAGTGAGCCATGCTAGATCGCCGAGGTCAAATCTTTCGCTGCCAATTGCGCGTCGTCAGCACCCTCAGGAGGTCCGCCTGTCTCCCAACTATGCAATTTTCCCCTTCTTTGACCTTCGTTCTTATCGTGAATTCCTCCTTTAAGTTGACTCGAAAGCATAAAGCGTTCTGCTTCGCCAGAAGCATCCATCACTTATTGATTCCCTCATATCAAATTCCATCAACACTACAGTATAATTGTTGAAGCTCCTCGTAGCAGATAATTAACCACCTCGGGCTCTTATCACCGAAAGCTGCGATTCGCAGAAAAAAATTGCACTTGAGTCACGCCATAGTTCGGTTCGCCATCACGGGGAAGGAGAACGACTATAGTGTGACGTCTCGACGCTTACTGCAGTTGTTTTCTAGAGTCCAGTGTATATTCATATGAAATTTGATCCCTAGGCGCATTCATCTGTACAACGCAGCTGATCGTCCCCCCCCCTCCCTAGCAGAAGGCAGTGCAGCTATTCGTTGCTGTTCCAGCTAGTGCTTTGCGTGGACTAAAGTGGTAACGGTGTTTCTGTGTCTGCCTTTATACTTTACTTGAAGAGTTGCGGCCTCTATACCACTGCATCGCCTCCGCAAATTGATTGTGAAAGCAACGGCATGGCTCATTCTCAATGCCATCACGGGCTTCAACCTTATCGTTAATGAAAATCATCGCAATACTTCTGATTCTCCAATATTTTCCACGTCTCAGAAAAGAGATCTGAAAAGTGTACCGTTTTTTTTTCGTCAAGTGCAAGAAAAATGCACCCCAAATGGGAAATGTTCAAGAACACTCCAAGTACATAAAAAGGAGCTATTCGGAGCGTTGATATATCACTCCTGGGAGTAAGGCTTGGAGTGATGGGGGGGGGAGGCAGTGTGCTTGGAAATTCCGAGTGCCATTCGTGGCTCTCTAGAAATCCCATTCTCCCTCAGCATCGATCGAGAAGGATGCACTATCTTGACGACGATTTAAGGAGCTTTATTGTCTAGGGATTCCAGCCCCGCAAAATGAAGAAAATCACTATCGTTCTTCATTCTCCAAACCTCCCTAACTTAATTATTTATTATTTTTTACTTATTTATTTGTAACGCTGCATAAGGCACTCGTAGTAAACAAACCGAGAGCATTGTATTATAAAATTGTTGCAGTACACTTCGGCTAACTCTAGCTCTTCTTAATGTAGTAAACATCTTGCCCATCAGTGTGATCAATGATCCTTTTATCTTTTGTGAAAGACATTCGGAACCTCTACCAGGCAGGACAGCGGTATTGGTCATGCGCAAAGGATTGCGGATAGGGTCATGCTGATAGAGTGACTTATAAGTGAGTAAGTAGCTCAAAATCCCGCCGACAAGCTGGCAGAATGAGCACTATCTGTATAGCTTGTGTTGTTTGTTGTCCACTTATTGTTTACTGCTTCACTCGGTTGTTCTCTCACAACGTAGAATAGAAAACGTTGTGCAAAATAAGATGTGGCGAACAAGAAAAGGGTGCCTCCTTGCAAAAATGAGATTAAACTCAGCTCTTAATAATTTTACAAAGGTTGTGGTTATTACACTGCTCTCGCATAATGTCTCTTCCCTTGGTCTAGAGGCAAGGTTCTCACGAACCTACAGGAGGAAAAGTACGTGAAGCGTTCTCCAAACAGTGATTTGCACTCCAGTTCTACGTCTGTTGGGAAGAAGTGTAGTATTCCTCCTTTCCAACAGACTTAGAAAGCGCCACCAAATTGAGAAGCAAAGCAGAAATTGTTTGAAGATCACAAGTGACTACTGGTCGGGTCCTGCTACCAGTCAGCTGTTTCGAGATGACAAAGTGTCGGTGATCGCCCAACCAGTAGAGCTCTTTGTCGATTTTTTCTCTGTTCAAATCTCCAGTGTAACAATTTTTATTGAGCCGTTCTGTCCTGCAGACTTTTTTCTTCTTTCGCATCTCAAGACAGCAATACTAATTATGGCTCTTCACTTTCGCTCACATCACGTCGAAAAAAATTCGCTGCTATTCCTCTTTTGGAAGACGCTTTCTTCATCAGTGCAGGCTCTGTAGAGGAGTTTGATAAATTTGGTATTTGCAAGATTCACGCTGTAAATGTCTATTGTCAAAGTTGACCCTTAAACACATAACGAAATACTAAAACTTGGAACAAGCAACTAAGCAGTAGTCTATAAGTGTCAACTTGACCCTTAGCGGTACCCTTCCCCCTCCCCTTCTAAATAAATGCTCTGTAGTTTAACGATCTTCGAAACAAAGCTTTTGATTGAGAAAGTTCTTAGATTGGACAGACCTGGGAGAGTCTCATGATGGCTAGGCCTAAACTGCCTTGGCGCCACGTCTGCATTGTGAACACCCGAGTTTTCAGAGTTTGGCTTACTTCTGCGACTCGCAGAGCATTGTTTGACCCTTCAAATATGAACCATTGTTTCAAAAACTATTGGGAACGAAAATAATCGCTTCGTTGCTTGCTTCACATTCCAGTAAAATTTATTTATTTGACTGTTTTACAAAATGACCGTTTTCTTTGAGCATATTGGTCCCTTATTATCGCAACACTTCACTGTTTCACGAAAAAATAAGAAAACGCAGCTTTGAGGTTTCGAAGGGTCACCTGTGGTGAAATTTCCCTGGTTGGTCCTGACCCCGGCGCTAGCACTCTGCGATCGAGCACAGGTGCTCTTTAACGATAGCTCTTTGCAACCCATCATCTTTCGGGGGATAAACAATTGCGCTGAGTCCGTTGAGTGGAGCTAAAGTATTAAGATAGAAGATTCAAGGTTGAACGATTCTTCTTGAGATGCGCCGCGCATTCGACGTTCACCAAATCATCGGGGTCTAAGGAGCGCGGATCAGCCAAAGCAAAAACTTATAGGTCGACGTTCATGGCCAATTTTTTATCCCATTCGATAAGTCTGCTTTCATTGCAGCTAAAAAAGAACGAATAAGTAGGTGGTCTGAATGGAAATGGATTTAGAATAAAACCTAGCATCGTGCGCATAAGTGGTGCTGCACCCACACCGCCCTGTAGAAGACAACACTGAGAACAAATAATCTTGGAATCCATGGCCAAATGGAATATTGAACTGCATAATGATTTTCGCAAGATATTATGTATGTACACCTCCAGACCGCTTTGATCGCCTCCATAACTTCGAACTGAAGAAATTCGAATAGCTGGCTCAATTTAGATGTATGTGTATAAGCCTTACGCCTAAGAAAAGTGATATTTCATGCAAGCAACTTGTTGCAAGAGCTCTCATAAGCGATCAAAAAGAGAATTTCATTTTTTGATTCAATCACAGTATTCCAAATTGCGGCAGAAATCACCCTAGAATGATAATAATGACCTAGCAATAGAATCTTCATCTTTGCAATCTTTCTTTTCGAAGAAGAGACATCGTTGTGCTAAGATCATTCTAAGGCCGCACTAGTGTTCTTCAGTCGAGCAACAACATCTCTTTTTCTGTGAGAAAAACCGCAGCGGTTTGCTTGCTTGCTTTTCATCTTTACCTGCTATATGTTGTTCCAGCTTTTCAAGAGCACCACTGAACACTTTGAGTTTCATGACGAATCGCCTGTGATTTGTCAAGCGTCACCTTCAGACTTGAAGGCAGCGTTACGATAGGTTTGACGAGGGTTTAAAGGAGAAGTGGTGGTGCTCAATGGTACGGAAAAAAGCGGAGAAATCCTTCAAAAAAGTACAAAATGGACCCATTTATTTGTCCGTGCTGGTTTTCACTTCATAAACAGCTGTAACAGAAAGCTGACGTATGCCAAGCACACCGCGCCCCCGTACGTTTTTGTAGCAGACACCATACCAAACCACGTCCCAATCGAGTCGCTCCAGTTGCGCCTCCGCTGGAACGCAGTTCGTCCAAATCACCAACTAAACTAGTGAGTGGATCGTTTGCGGGGCTGCAGTGTCTTCGCGAAGTATGCAAGCGCGCGGCGCATTTCGCATCGCACTACACCTCGCTCCCTTTGCCAAGCCCCCGTACTGATGCTCAACGTGGTCAGAATGCAGTCCTATGTCTTCCTTTTTACGGTAAACGCCTGCTTGTACGGTTTCGAAGTATCGGGCTGAGATTGATGAGGGGTTAAAGTGGCGCAGTTGGCGCCTCTATCACAGATATGGTTCTTCGTCCCGTCACTCGGTTCTTCTAGTTGAGAGTCCTCCTTCTCTGAGCCGGTCCCTCATTAGGTATGCCTTGGTTCAACTGAGTTTCAGTTAGGTGGAGGTCAACACTTTGATCTCTTACCCTCCCCTTCAAAAAGCCAGAAAGTGTCGGGTGCAGACCATACACCACAAGTGACGACGGCCTCCAGAAAATGCAAATGTTTTTTGCCAATGAAATGATTAACCTGTTGCAGTTGTATTCGATCAGTTGACACTAATTACAACTATCATTTACTAAAAATCAGCTATCACTATGAACCACTACTAACCAGATTTACTTGGAGCCGTCGTCAGTTGTGGTGTTTGGTCTGCACCCGACACTTTCTGGCTTTTTGAAGGGGAGGCATGTCTTCATGATGATGGTGAAGAGAGTGAATGGAGTCAGACCCCAATCAATTCTACACTATCGCTTAAATGGAAGAAAATCGGGAAATACGCGTCCGTGGTTTTCATAGAGGGCCAAAGAATTGGTCAAGTTCTGAAAACCATAACCCAGCCTGACCTGAGAACGGTCCGGTGAGCAGTGGAAACCCTCTTCAGCTGCTAAATACGCTCATTGTGAAAAATGACTTCCGCTTCTGCTTGTAGACATATCACGTCATCGGGAAACAACCCATTTGAGAAAAAAACAAAACCGGGTTTTCTTTTTTCACGGCAACGCTCGACGCTGCATTGTAAAGTAAACTTAGGAAAGACTAAAGAATCTTTTCTGGGCAAGTTATAAATAACCTCGTCATCACTTCGAAATGCTATTGCATTGGCCTCCATCTTATTCCATTCCATTCGTCTTCTCTCGGGAAATTCCTAAACTAAAAATAACCTTAGAACTGACATCCAATATTTTTTCGGTCAAAATCCACAACCTTTCGTAAAACGAATTGGAACTTTCTATGCGTTGGCAATATGTTAATGATAAATTGGCTATGTCATATGTCGAGTGGCAAAATAGGCAGTGATAAAAAAAAATCCTCGAATAGCAAAACGCCGATTATGAATGGACCTCGCAGCTGCATGTTGTTAAGCTAACTAACGTAATATCAAAAGTTCCCTCTTTTCTATCATGATCCTCAACCTTTCTTGCCATTATTGAGCCCCAACCCCACTTAGTTCGGTTCGGCTGCAGTGCAGTATGTGATCATTTTGCTGGACGTGCGCCTGTGGCTATGCTTCAGGAAAGGGAATCAATCTGCCGAAAAAAAGTGATGCGTAAGGCTTTCTTGCGGTCAGTACATCCCCAGGCGCAGAAATTGTTGGGAACGACTCCGTCAGCCCTATAGGATCGTACACTGGAAAATCACAGATGTAGCACTTCTGTGCATGAAAACCACGTGAAAGGGCGTTAGAGCCTTGCGAAGTTAGCTACAGCAGCTGCAGCGCTCCTCTTTAGCAGCTCGCTGTTGTCTCTGTTGTCTGACGCTCTCACATCTGCACTCCCTGCTCATACTCCAGGGTCAAGCGTGCGTTGAGGAATCCTCGACACGTCGCAGGGGGGGGGTCGTATTGGCCCGCTGGGTGGAAGAGATCGAGCCATTTTGATGCAGTGGGATCATCACCGTCACGTCGGAAGACAAATATCAAGGATGAGTCGATGCCAGGCCAGAGGATTTCCAATGAAAATGATATT